AGACTCACTGAGAGAGAGATAGGGCAAACAATTCTTTTCACCATAGCATCCAAAAAACTCAAATACCTAGGAATCATCCTAACAAAAGAAATCAAAGACCTCTTCTCTGAAAACTATATCACTCTGAAAACAGAGACTTAAGATGATATCAGAAAATGGAAAGACATCCCTTGTTGCTGGGTGGAAAGAATCAACATAGTGAAAATGGTCATTCTTCCAAAACTTCTATATAGATTCAATACTATCTCAATTGAAATTCCAGCAGCATACTTCATGATCCTGGAGAAAACAATCCAAAAATTAATTTGGAATAAGAAGATACCTAGAATAGCAAAAGCAATTCTAGGCAACAGAGACATGGCAGGGAGTTCACAACCCCCAACTTGAAACTATACTACAAAGCTACTGCAATATAAACAGCATGGTACTGGCAAAGAAACAGACCTGAGAACCAGTGGAACAGATTGGAAGATTCAGAAATAACTCCAGACACACTCAGCCACCTCATTTTTGATAAAGGAGCCAAACACCCTCACTGGAGGAATCTTTAATAAATGGTGCTGGAAAAATTGGGTTTCAACTTGTCAAAGATTAAAACTAAGCCTATATCTCTCACCACCTCTAAACTAAAATCAAAATGGATTAAAGATTTAAATTTTAAAAGAGAAGCACTGAATCGCCTGGAACAGAGGTTAGGTAGAACTCTTGAAAACATTGGTGTAGGGAAAGATTTTATAAACAAAACCTCAATTGCCTGTGAAATAGCAAAAACAATCAACAAGTGAGATCTCTTCTTATTGAAAAGCTTCTGCACAGCCAGAGAAACCGCCAGCAGTTTCAAGAGACAACCCACAGTGTGGGAAATAATGTTCACCTGCCATTCCTCAGACAAAGGTCTACTCTCTAGAATCTATAAAGAACTTAAAAAAATCAGTCCTCCCAAATTTAAAGACCCAATTCAAAAATGGGCATCTGAAATGAACAGATATTTCTCAGACAAAGAAGTAGAAATAGCAAATAAACATATGAAAAAATGTTCAACATCACTGGTCCTTTAAGAGATGCAAATGTAAACAATGCTGAGATTCCATCTTACCCCAGAAAGAATGGATGCCATCATGAAATCAACCAATAACAAATGCTGGTGGGGCTGTGGGGAAATAGGAACCCTGCTCCACTGCTGGTGGGAGAGTAGACGGTACAACCTCTGTGGAAATCAGTATGAAGTTACCTCATAGAACTAGGGCTGGAAGTCCCATTTGACCCAGCTATTCCCCTGCTGGGAATCTTCCCCAAAGAATTAAAAGAATCATACCACAGTGATATATGCACACCCATATTCATAGCAGCACAATTTGTAATAGCTAAAACTTGGAAGCAGCCCAATTGCCCATCAACTGGAGACTGGATAAAGAAAATGTGGGTTTTGGTTTTTTTTATATAAAATGGAGTATTAGCCATAAAGAATGAGAAACTGGAGACATTTATAGCTAAATGGATGCACATTGAGGTGATACTCTTAAGTGAAATAAATAGGACACACATGTGTAAATACTGAATAGTATCTCTAGTTTGAGAACCTGAAAGTGTAAATAAGGACTAAAATGGATAACAGATAATTTGAAATTGGAAGAAAAGGGGCAAAGGGGAAGGGAAAGTGGGAGGGGTAAACAAAAGGAAAAAGGGAATGGAATTAATATAAGACAATGAAAAAATGTAAAAGTCTTTGTAAATAAGGAGGGACAGAGGGGTTGAATGGAGGGCAGAGGAATGGGGAAAAAATAAGAAACAAGAGAGATTATGTTAAGGTGCAAATTTCCAATGTTGAATGTCATTATATTGTATACCTAAAATGTACTAATGAAATTAATTTTAAAAAAAAGAAGACTAACAATATTGTAGCTGAATCTTTCAATGAGTTCTTTCCAGTTCTTATTTGAAGTGAAAAATGTACCAAGTTAATGTTTAGTACCTGAACATCTTTGAGATTCCCATTTAGTGGACAAATGAAACCTGAAGTTTGTGCAAGACATAAATCAAGGGCAGATAAAACAGGGTCAGGCTGCTCTGAATGAAAGGAGAATTTGGTATTTGTGTTTATTGAAACCATTTTGCTGTTTGATTAGACAGAGAGGGAGAGAAGAGAATAGTGGCAGAGAGATGAGGTAGAGCAAACAGGAGAAGACAGGATGGCCAGGCATCATGAGATCATGGACACACCTCATAGCAATATGGCTGAAATGACTTTTAATAACAGAAGTGTCCTTGTGTTGTGGAAATGAAAATCATTCTCACATATTCCCCACTCAGTCTCACATCCAAATGCTCAGTTACATCAGCTAATTTTTTGTAAATGCTTTCTAAAGGGGAATTCTTGGGTAACTAGGAACTGCATCTTGAACTTGTATAATCTAATAGAGAAGAGAGATCAGAGAGACAACTATGCTAAAGAAACGTCAGAGATGACTTTGAATTTTCAGAAATTTAGGAAGGGCATTTGATAGCCAGGATTGTAGCACATTGGATTTGAGCCAATGCTTCCATAACTCCAAGTTTGGGTCATACTCGCCCATAAGGTATATGATTCTAACACATGCCTCTGCAAAATTTGCTTCTGTTGACTCTTCCCTAATACTTAGGATGCATGCTTTCTTTAATTTACATAACAACTCTGTGTCTTGATTTTCTCCTGACATTTTTGATCATTCCTTTTCAATCATTTTGTGGTTTCTACTTTTTCTCTACATCCTTTAAATCTTGGTATGCATTAGCTTCCTCCCACAGCATCTCCCTTCACATATTCTAATTTATATCATCCAATTTCATGACTTCAAACATGATCTAATTGCTGAGAACATCGAAGTGTTATCTTTAACTAAACCTCTCTTCTAAGCACTGAACTTTTGCATCTAATTGTCTAGTAGATATCTCAATGTATGCATCCCATATAGGCACCTCAAATCAATATATCTAAGTATCAATTTATCATTCCTCAAAAATCATCTTTTTCCCCCTTTTCTTTAGTTATGAATATTTTCAAAATTAACAATTATGGAGAAAACACAATCTACAGGATCATGCATGGTATATTGAAACAAGGAAGCATAATATACCTATTAAACAAATAATAATAGTCTCTATGAGCATATGTAAATACTGTTATGTGAATAAATTATATACAGTAGCAAATGAAAATATGCCACCTTTTTTTTTTTTGGTACCGGAGATCAAACTTGGATCCTTGTGCTTGCAAGGCAGGTGGTGGAACCACTGAGCTAAGTCCCCGGACCTTATGCCACCTTTTATATGAGAAAGAAGAGAAGGTAAAAAATATATGTTGACACAGATGTATTATGTAACAAATAAAAAACCAACTAAAAGGAGAACATTTTCTGAAGCTAATAAAAATAGTTACAGATGCAGAATGTAGTCAATAAAATTCAATTAAAACAAGGATATTCAAAATTCTAAAATGTAATATATACTAACCTAATCATATAACAACTAATAACACAACCACAAGGTAAAAAAATTTTAGTAATCAATAAGCCCAGTTCTCTGGCCCATGTGCACTTAATGCAATATAATGTAAGGATAAAAAGAACTGCAAATAAATTTTGAATTTGACTTTTTAAAGAGTGATAATGATATAGAAATTCTGAAACCAGCTTTTATGTATTATTGAATGCAGTTTGAGAGTAAACACATTGATGTTGCTGAAACAAAGGTTCAAATGTGAGAGAAAATGCAAATGATACAGGTATAGAACGGCAGAGACCAAAAAGAACCTTATGATGCTGGAATTTAATTGTAAGTATTAATACAAAGTTTTTTAAAATCTATTGATCAATGACCTATAGATATATGTGCAGATAGGTGTAGATATATTTTAGCTCTGTCAACTGAAAAAGCATAGAAGCAATGACATTTCTAACAACAATGAGCATGCTATGACTCAGATTCTATTTTTCTAATTACTATTCTACAATTAACAGAACATGGGAATCCCTGGAGAAACAGCTGGTTCCAGAACTTGTACAGTAATATAATTTTGTGCTAGAAAGAAAAGAGGGATATAAAAGAATTGGTGGAAATGTCTTAAAAGGACCTAGAAGAATGTGCTTATTAGCAGGAGATATATACTGAGCTAATTAGAAATAAAATATTATGATGCCTGCAAGTTATGTTTTAGTTACAGATAAAATTGTTGAATATAGATGGAAGAGTTCATCGTACTTGTCTTTTCATTTTTATATCTTCTGTGGGTCTGATGTTTTTTTTCATTAAGTTTATTGGTACATTTTAGGTATACAATATGGTGACATTCATCATTGGAAATTTATACCTTTACATGATATATATTGGTTCTTATTTTTCCCCCATTCCCCTGCCCTCCCTTCAACCTCACAACCCCTCCCTATTTACAAAGACTCTGTTTACATTTTTTCCTTTTCTCATATTTATTCCTTTCCTTTCTTTCTTTTCCCCTACCACTCCCACTTCCCCTTTGGGCCTTTTCTTCCTATTTCACATTATCTATTATACCCTTCTCCACTGCTGGTGGGAGTATAGACTGGTGCAACCACTGTGGAAATCAGTATGGAGACACCTCAAAAAACTAGGATTAGAGGTTCCATTTGACGCAGCTATCCCCCTCTATTCCCCTGCTGGGTATCTTGATGGAGCCAGCCATCACTAGATGAACAGTATCCGAGGAGAGGGGTGAGGATTAAGAAAAACAACACAAATTCAGGAGAAAAGAAAAGGAGAGGAGAGGGAGAGCCTTCTCCTTCCCACTTTATTGAGCCTTTTATATATCCTCCTTCATCACCCACAGCCTCCCTCCCCTCCTCCCCTCATGACCAGGTGACTAATTATTTTTACAGGGAAAAGGTCAATTATATTTTTACAATTCCGGGAATGTTACTTTCTTGTCCAGCAGTCATTATGTTCTTATCTGACTCAAGAATCTCAAAAGGCTATCCTGGCTCATTATGTTCTTATCTGACTCAAGAATCTCAAAAGGCTCAGGGTTGTTTCAACACTTTGCTCTCCACACCTCTCCCTTTTTTATTTATTAGAGGACTGTGCCTGTCTTAGGTGAGATCTCAGAACAAAATCCCACCTTACCTGTCATTGGGAAGAGAACCTTCCCTGTCTTAGGTTGGTAAGGGATTCTCCTGGTCCCAAACCCATCATTGACTAACCGGCCTCTTAGAGGTGATCAATTTTTGATAATGTAATTGAACAGCCAGTGTTAAGAACATGGATCGAACATACTGGCTGAATATGACAAAAAAAAGAAACATAAGCAGAAGTCCGACAGCCAGTAGTCCAAGGCCTCTCACTATCTGTTTAGCAAAGAATGAGGAAGGCACCAATGTTTTTAAATGATCATAAAGAGACTGTGCCACCTGTGCAGGTGACAGACTTATTCTTCCCGCTTGTTGAATGCTCAATATCTGCTGATGGAGCTTTAATAGGTCTGAGGTTTCATTGCCATGTGACCATGCCCCTTTTAGATGGTCCTGGACCATCTGCCAGTTATAATCTGTCATATTATAAGCTAGTGATGTGACACAGATCCAACGATATTCTCCATGGCACTGTAAATGGTTTCTATGTTTGAGAGCCTCAAGGGAGCGTCCCAAATATATCACCGTGTCAAAAAGAGCATTCAACTTCTCTTCCATTTTTATATCAATATCTTCTTGCAACTCTAAGGCTTGTGATACATTCATCGAAAGATTATCTACAAAAGCTGCTGTCTGCACAGACTGGGATAAAGCAACCACAGCAGTAGATAAGCTAATCAAAAATGCTATAAAGGTAACAATTCCAGCTACAATCATACCGGCCACCCTTTTTTCTCTTTTCAATAAACCATTTAGACTCTCCAATATTTGAAGTCCTCTTTCTGCATACCATGGTTCTGAAAGATTAACTGGCAACATTACAAAAGAGGGCTGATGAATTATTAAAACATTTTGATACCCGAATTTCACACAATTTGACAATGTGCAATTATCACATGTTACATTAAATTGACGAGTTCCATTTTCATAATCAATCTCAAAACCTCCCAATAACAGTAAGTAGGGCTGGGGCACACAAGCTGTGATATTTCCCTCCAACCCAGAGTCTGGTCCCACACCAATCCTTTTTATCCCTCCCATAGCAACCATAAGTTTCCATATCATGGGCTGAAAAGGGCCGGAAGGCACTCGCCAAAGTCCCACAGTCAACTGCTGTTCTGTGTTCGCCCCACCTTGACAATTGTCCAATTGGGCACTCCAATCCTGTAGCACTTCTTGTTGATCGGTGAAGTTATAGATGGCCGGCCGGTCCACTCTACATCTGGCCCATGGTATGATTCTGTTATTGGTGAGTGCCTTATTCATACATTGGGGGTAGTCTTGGGGAGGATCATCTATCTCTAGAGAGCCTCCACAACTTGGCCATGGCATTCGAATATTGTGTCTCTTGTTGCCATACAGAGACCCTTCATTAAAAGTATCCCATGTAAAATTTAAACAACTCTTTACGGTACCATTTTGTGAAAAACATATAGGGATTCCCCATCCTTTCCCTGAATAATTAAAACCTTCTTTTATCTCTTCTTTTATATGACCGAGTGAGGGGGGGCCAGCTATTGCAGTATTATTCACATATACTGAAACTGGTGAATCCTCCCAGGTGACAGGATGATGCAAAAGAGGGGGGTCAGGGACATAGGCCCAAAACATCTCACACTTAGTCATCGTGACCATCGCCATGAGGAGGAGGAGAATCTGCTGAAGAGACATCTGCCTGGTGCACGAGCCGTTCTGGTAACCATCGCGCATTGTCTTCATTCTGTGGAAAAACACAGACATGCCCTCGTCCTCAGATTAGTACAGGGTCAGGACCATTCCATCAGTCCATGAGGGGGTCTTTCCATTTTACTTGTGCATAGGATGTTTTTGTGCTTGGATGCCATAATCGATCAGCAGGTGTTAATTTCTGTGCATCCAAAGTAAGAAAATTTAAAATGAAAAGGGTATGGTTTAGAAGATTCTGAGGAGACAAGGGGTATAATTCCCCCTTTTTTATTTTTTGAAGCTGATGTTTAAGGGTGTTATGAGCTCATTCAACAATCCCCTGCCCCTGGGGATTATAGGGTATGCCAGTTTTAGGTGAAATTTGTAGACACATGCAGAATTGAGAAAACTGTTTACTGGTATATCCAGAGCCATTATCTGTTTTAATAATTTGGGGTAGACCGATCACAGAAAAACAGTGTAAACAATGGGAAATAACATGTCTTGTAGCTTCATCTGTAAGAGCGGTAGCCACAACGAAGCCTGAAAAAGTATCAATGCTGACATGAACATATTTCTGTTTTCCAAACTCAGAAATATGAGTGATGTCCATCTGCCATAATTGATTAGGTTTAAAACGTTGGGGATTAACTCCATAATGGGGGACAGTACAGAAAAGTGGACAATGAGCACACTGTTTGACAATTTGCCTAGCAGCCTCACGCATAAGGCCAAATTGGTAGCGGAGGCTACAACTATTTTGATGATGAATAGCATGATGCTGTTGTGCCAATTGCAGTTGTGTAGGGGCGACAATTTTGGTGGCCTGATCCGCAAGACAATTCCCCGCTGATATAGCACCAGGGAGATTAGAATGAGCGTGTACATGACCAATATAGCATGGTTCCGTACGAGAACATAAAAATCGTTGAATCTGTGCAAAAAGAGATTGGATGGGGGAGGCGGCAGAAGCAATAAAAGACACCGTCTCCAATAAAGGAATGGCCTTTGCAATATATTGGCTATCCGTATATAGATTAAAAGATTCATTATGAAAGAGATCAAAAACTATGGCAACGGCTCAAAGCTCTATCACTTGTGCGGAAGAGGGAGTGAAAGAAAAAGTATGAACATCGTCTCCCACAACATACACTGCACGTCCGTTGGATGAACCATCAGTGAAAATAGACTTAGCTTGGGGGATGGGAGAGTGACGAATAATTTTTGGGAAAACAAACGAATGAATGTTAGCAAATTGAAGTAATTTATCCGGAGGGAGGTGATTACCAATAGAACCTTTAAAGTGGGCAAAGGTGAGGGCCCAGGAATCAACATTATGAAAAAGCCAATCAATATGTTGTTGTGTAAAAGGGACCCGTATTAAAGAAGGCTCAACGCCAAAATATTTACATGATTCCTTGCATATGAGCTGCACAAGCTGGGCTACAGATTCATAGTAAGGAGATAAAACTTTATCAGGGGAAACAGGCAAATGTAACCAAAGGAGTGGGCCATCCTGCCAAAGAACAGCAGTAAGCATATGTTGTGTGGCCAAAACATAAGCAGCCCAAGGGCGGCTATAATCAAAATAGTGGACAGTCCAGTCTTGAATAGCTGACTCAACCTTATGGAGAGCTTTTCTGGCCTGTTCAGAGAGTTGTCGAGGTGAAGAGGGGTCGGGATCCCCTTTCAAAACATCAAAAAGGGGTTTCAAATCTCCCATGGACAGTTTTAGATATGGACGCAGCCAATTTATATCTCCCAACAATTTTTGATAATCATTTAAAGTGCGTAAAGCATCTTTTCTTAATTGAAATTTTTGAGGATGGATGACCTTAGGGTATAAGATATGACCAAGATAGGAGAAAGGAGGTCGAGTTTGGATTTTTTCAGGGGCCACAACTAATCCATTTTTTACCAAGGCCTGGCATAGATCAGCAAACGCGAGTAGTAAAAGGGGTTCATTACTAGAGGCTAAAAGTATGTCATCTATATAATGGACCAAATATAATGACGGGTAATCTGTCCTATCTGAATTGCCCAAGCTACAAACTTTTGACACAAGGTGGGGCTATTGGCCATACCCTGTGGCAAGACCTTCCACTGAAAGCGTTGCATGGGTCTTTTAAAATTTACTGAGGGTAGACTGAAAGCAAAACATCTACAATCTTGTGGGGCAAGAGGAATTGTATAAAAGCAATCTTTCAAATCTACAATTATCTTGAAAGTTTGTGCTGGGACAGCTGACGGTATCAGAAGCCCGGGCTGTAGGGCCCCCATAATTTCCATGGTTTTGTTAATCACCCTCAAATCCTGTAAAAGTCACCACTTTCCTGATTTTTTCTTAATTACGAAAATAGGAGAATTCCATGGGGAATTAGAAGATTCAATATGTCCAGCACAAAGCTGTTCCTGTACCAACTGCTCTGCAGTGAGAATTTTTTCTTGGGTTAAGGGCCATTGATCCACCCACACAGGGTCATTAGTTTTCCATGTGATGGGATCTGCATGGGGCACAGGGAGGTCAACAGCCCCCATCAAAAATACCCTATCCCTGTTTTATCTAATTTTTGTTCAGTCTCCAAAGGGGAAGAGGGGCCCTGATTGTGTGCTCCAAGTCCTTGATAAGGGAGTAAACCTTGATCAAATAATTGTTGCATAACTTGTGGGTTAGATGAATGTAAATAAACTCCCATATCTTTCATCACATCCCTTCCCCACAAATTTACAGGCAATCCAGGGACGATAAATGGGCAGAAATGTCCTTGATGGCCCTCATGATCCTGCCATAGTAAAAGATCACTGCTCTGTTTGGTACTTTTACTCTGCCCAATCCCTTGTAGGTGCATCATAGTGGCTTGTTTGGGCCATTTAGCGGGCCACTGTTCAGCAGTTAATACTGAAACTTCAGCACCAGTATCAAGGAGACCTGAAAAGAGTTTTCCATTGATTTTTAAATGAATCTCAGGTCGATGGGCTCCTATAGGCTGTACCCAGTAGGCTCCTGAAGAGCCGAATCCCTTTTGGCCTCTATGAGTGTTTTTAACTTTTCCTTCCTTTTTTACTAAAGGTATCAAAAGCAGCTGAGCTATGCACTGTCCAGCTGGTATAGTAGATATAGTAGTAGGGGAATGGACCATGATTTTGATTTCTCCTTCATAATCCTGATCTATGACTCCAGGGGCGACGAAAATTCCCTTAAGGGTCGTGCTGCTTCAACCCAGGAGTAAACCTAGAGTGCCTTCAGGTAGGGGCCCATAGACCCCCGTGGGGAGGGCCTGGACCCCCATCTCAGGAGTTAGTACTGTGAAGGCGGTGGAACTGAGGTCCAGTCCTGCACTGCCTGGGGTGGCTCTAAAGAGGTCTTGAATGGATTGTTTTGTTGAGGAATGAAGGACTGGAGTGCCCCATAACATTGTTTTGGGGCCTGGGGCCAGCCCCGCCTGGAGTTTTCCTGCTCCAGTGCATTACCCAAATGATCCCTTTTTGACTTACATTCATTTGCCCAATGATTCCCTCTTTTACATTTTGGGCATAATCCTGGCTCTCTCGGGGAGGATGAAGCAGTTTTTACTGGGACCTTTCTCTCTGGGCATTGTTTAACTCTATGTCCAATCTTTCCACACCCATAACAGCTTCCTAGGGGCCCAGCAACTCGTGTCTGAGCCCCTTTATGCGCTTGTTGAAAAAGAACCTCTCTTACGGTCTTTCCTTGCAAAGCCACAGCCATGGCCAGCCCTTGAGTATAGGCAAGTCCAATGTCCGCATATAACCTTATATAATCACCCAGGTGCCCCTTTTTTCTGAAAGGGCAGACAGCAGCTTGGCAGGGGGAGTTAGCATTCTCATAAGCTAGCTGTTTAACCAGCAATAATCCAGCATCAGCATCTCCTAGCAGACGTGAAGCAGTCTGTAAAAGACAGGCAACAAATTCCTGAAAAGGCCTGTCGGGACCTTGCCTGATCTTAGAGAGGTCCTCAGAAGCTCACCCCGTCATGGGCAGCTTTTCCCAGGCTCGTTTCACCGCTGTATTAATTTGGGCATATGCTCCCCCAGGAAACAATAATTGATTTGCTATATCAGCATACTGTCCCTCCCCTGCTAACATATCATAAGTAATGTTATTACTGGTGGCACGGTTGAGTTCAGCCATCTTTTGGCATTGTTCCACGATCTCTGTCTTCCACAATAAATAATCTCCACCAGAAAGGCAGGCTTTAGCTATTTGTTTCCAATCCCCAGCGGGGAGAGCATCTGAGCTTAAAGACTCGAGCATGGCCTGGGTAAAAGGGGCCGTAGGGCCATACTGAACACAAGCAACTTTTAGCTCCTTAAGTTGTTTAAAAGGAAGAGGTCTATGAACGCGGACCATTTGCCCTTGTTGATCTGGTTCCTCAAAAACAAGACAGACCATTTGGAACCCAGCCAGATCCTCCCCTCTCTCGGCGGCCACCTGTAAAGTAGCCTGCAGGGCCAAGAGAGGGCAGAGCGCTGGGGATGAAAGTTGTGGGACAGGAGGGGAATCTAACTGAAGGTCGGGGCGGGCAACCTCAGGAAAAGGGTCGAGCCCTGCCAGGATACTGGGCCGAAGTGGCCGTTCCTTCAGCAGTGCTTGTTCCTTTTGCTTCCATTTCCAATTAAACCATAACATATCTAAAGGATTTGAGGGATGTATATTTTCAGATTCATCCTTTTTTATCTTTTACTTTCATTTTTTCGGTAAGAGCTATCAAAGAGAAGGGAGGCCATTCCTCATTATTATACTTAGCCACCTCCTCCTCCAGATCCATGGCATCAGAGGGGTCGAGGGGTTCATCTAAACCTTCCACAAGGGGGGGCGGCTGAAGAAGAAAGGCACTCAGTTTCTCTATCTATGCACGGAATGTCCTCCGGACTAGAAGCAACCACGTCTCCTTGTGAGTTACACATTGAAGTCCCCTGACGAGGATCCAAGCTCTCCTTGATAAGACCCCAAAGACTAAACACATGAACAGGAAATTTGGAAGGCCCTTCTTGATCATAATAACCTTGTAACTGTTTTCCTACTTTAGTCCAAAGTTCCAAATCAATTGATCCCTCTTCGGGGGAACATGGGCAGACTTTCTCTACAAATTCTAAAAAGTGACACAGTTGCTGTTGCCCAACCTTAGCTCCCCGATTACAGAGCATCTTTTTTAATATCTGAGTGAACAGGATCTGACTATTAGTCGTCCCCATATTTTATATCGCCACTCCGTACTTACTTGTCCGAGCTCACAATCCAGCGGCGTCCTTCACCTTGTCCTCCGTTCTCAGGTCCCTGTTAGGGTGCCACTTGTGACGGAGCCAGCCGTCACTAGATGAACAGTACCCGAGGAGAGGGGTGAGGATTAAGAAAAACAACACAAATTCGGGAGAAAAGAAAAGGAGAGGAGAGGGAGAGCCTTCTCCTTCCCACTTTATTGAGCCTTTTATATATCCTCCATCACCCACAGCCTCCCTCCCCTCCTCCCCTCGTGACCAGGTGACTAATTATTTTTACAGGGAAAAGGTCAATTATATTTTTACAATTCCGGGAATGTTACTTTCTTGTCCAGCAGTCATTATGTTCTTATCTGACTCAAGAATCTCAAAAGGCTATCCTGGCTCATTATGTTCTTATCTGACTCAAGAATCTCAAAAGGCTCAGGGTTGTTTCAACCCTTCGCTCTCCACAGTATCTTCCCAAAAGAATTAAAAGAATCATACCACAGTGGTATACATGCACCCATGTTTATAGCGGCACAGTTTGTAATAGCTAAAACTTGGAAACAGCCCATTTGCCCATCAACTGGAGACTGGATAAAGAAGTGGGTTTTTTTTTTTATATAAAATGGAGTACTACTCAGCCATAAAGAATTAGAAACTAGAGACATTTATAGATAAATGGATGCATATTGAGGCCATACTCTTAAGTGAAATAAATAGGATACACATGTGTAAATATCAAATAGTTTCTCTAATGTGAGAAACTGGAAGTATAAATAAGGATCAAAATATAGGTTTGATATTTCTTTAAAATTTAGGGAGAAAAATTACTAGTTCCTCCTCTGTGTTCCCTATATGTATATATGTTTGTACCTTACTGGACATTCCCAATCAACAAGTTCTGTGCATCACAGCTCTTGATATGTGAAACTCTTATTGGCCTCTTCTGCACTCACAAATCATAGCACCAGCCTTCAGAATAGCTTCTCTTCCTCCTCTAACTATGTTCCCAACTCCACTTACCTCTAATCCCAAACCATTTTCAAAGAACACAGGCACAAAGGCCATTTCCAAAATGTCATTCTTACCACATCACTTCCATGATTAAAACAGATCAATAGCTCTCCAGAGCACTCAGTCTCTTTAATGTGGAGCCCTGAACACCCCTTGATATGGTTCTGCTTTGGTTCTCTGGCCTCATTTTCTATGTCTTTGCTCCTCTGCAGAAGAGTACCCTGACTCCTGCCAATAAACATCTAAATGCACCATATTCCCTTGGCCACAACCTTGAAACACTCTCTTTAGAAAAGTTCTCGCCCAGCTCCCATTCCACCTACTTGAATGGTGCCCTGCCCTCAGAAGGCAGTCTGGATGAGACCTTGTCTTATGGTTTGTATCTAGAGGACCCTCAAAGCTTCATTTCATCATAGGTGGGACTTTAGGGATGTGACTGGATTATGGGTACTGAACTATTGGCATGATATTTGGAGATAGGGTCTGGTCAGAGGAGACAGGTCACTGGGGGTGTGGCTTGTAAGGTTTATCTCCTTCCCCTGCTACTTCTCTATCTCTCTGCTTCCCCTGACATGCTGTGAGCAGCTCTCCTCTGACTTGCCCCTCTGCTGTGGCATCCTGCCTTGAAGCCATCTGACTATGGACTAAAACATGAGGCAAATAAACCTCCCCTCCTTTAAATTGTGGGTATAGGGTATTGAATTTCAGTGATGAGGAAAGCGACTAAGACACATCCTCCAGAGAGCCTTCCCAGAGATCTCTCCTGGAGCAACACATGTACTCTCTCAAGACTGTTCTCTTCCTCTCACAGAACTAAGCAACAGCCACAAGGGAAGGCCTGAGTTGAGTGGCTTTCAGTTGCCACAAGACAGACATCCAACAAATGACTGTTGTGAGAATGAGTAAATTAGCAAATGTACTGTAAATATTTTCTTCTATATTATAAAATTTTTTTTACCTATTTTACCCATAATAGCAAGTTTAAGGAGGGAATGATGGCCAACAGTATAGAATAAAAATGTGCAAAATAAACTTGAGAAATTAGAAATAAATTTGAAGGAGAAAAGTTTAGAATTGTTTGCTAAGAGAAAAGACACAAAACTAGTTATCAGAGCATGGTGGCTAATCTGTGCGCTCAGCTGAAAACTCAGGTGAACAAAAGGAAATCCCTTATTTTGGATTTTTGTTTCCTCATCTCTAAAATGAAAATAGTAGAATAGGTTTCTGGTCTCTCTTAATCCTAAAACTCAATAGAAGGAAGTCCATGAAGAAACACTACTTAGTGTAAAGACATATATCTATGAAAGGTATTGCTTTTAAATTCAGCACTGTTTAAATTCAGTATGGTTAGACATGCATTTAGAAATAATACTGCCAATTATTAAGATTACACTAACATAATTAGTAACAGTAATCAGTACACTAATAATACTGCAGGCTATTAAGATTACACTAACCAGGACTGGGGATTTAGCTCAGTGGTTCTACCACCTGCCTTGCAATCGCAAGGTCCTAAATTCGATCCCTGGTACAAAGAAGAAAAAAAAAGACTTTGGTGAGTCTTCGAGATGGACTAAGTGCATTTTGCATAATGAGAAGAAAATAAATCTTTTGGGAGCCAGGGAAGAATATTATGGTTTAGACCTAAAATTTTCTCCAAAATTCTCATGTGTATGGAAAGTGATTGGATCATGGGGGCACTGCACTTATCAGTGGATCCATCCATTGATGAGTTCAGTAGCTAAATGTGTTGTTAGAAGGTTGAGCCTGGTCAGAAGAGGTGGGTCATTTGGTGCATGACCTAGAAGGGTGTATTCTTAACCCAGGCCCCTCACTTTTCTCCCTGATTCCTGGCTTCGATAAGTTGTGCACCTTTTCCTCTGCCATGCCCTTCCACCAATCTCTTTTTGCCTTGAAGCCAGCTGACCATGGACTGAAACCATGAACCAAAATAAATATCTCCTCCCTTAAATGCGAGTGCCAGATGTTTTGTTCCAGAAATGAAAAAGTGCCTACAACATCCAGTATTAGATAGTCTGTTCTCTTCTCCAGACATCTCATCTGTACAAATAGCCTTAACCTCTAGGATCGATGTTAAGATCTTCTCAAACTGACTGCTCTCTTATAGTTTGCCTGATTCTTCTACTTGTCTTTAAACAATTAGGGCATTATGCTTAATCAGAGTATGTGTGGTAAAAGCAACAAAAGGAACATACAAAGAAATTATGAGAAAACAGGATCTTGTTAAAGCATGAATCCAACCTGAGTGGTGAGAGAAGACTTTCCTGAGGCAGTAGTATTTAAATATGAATTATAGTTCCAGACCTATAATTCCTATAAATTAGATGGAAAATTGTTGGGGCTTATTCTAAACTAAGGTACCAGCACTTGGTAAGCCATAAAACTGGAAAATGAAAATAAAATAGGATTGATATGACTGAAACACTTTAGATAATGATCCTACATCAAATAATTATGTCACTGACTTTTTGGAACCATAAATCCACACTAAACACCTGTGTGACTGGAGTTACAATGGTATAGACTGGGAAAGAAGTATTTCCCCTGAAAGGAATTGAAGTTCCCATTCTCCATAGTCCTATGAAACATGGAAAAACAATTCTTAGACTAGGTTTAGAGATAATATTTTCTGCTATCTCTGGGCCAAGAATCAATTTGGCCTATAAATTCTCAGGCATGAATGGTCTGGTTCATTTCCAGGGGATTGAAGAGCTAAGAATACCTCCTTAGTCATGTAAGTGTGGCCTGAAGAAAGCAAGCAGAACAAAGTAGTAGGGAAGTATGAGGAAGAAAGGTCTAAAGCAGCATGTCCAATAGAACTTTCTTCCATGATGACAATGTTTTATATTCTCTTCAGTCCAATATGACTGCCACTGGCCACATGTGTCTACTAAGCACATGAAATATGGGCGGTGCTTGTGAGAAAAGACCCCAGGATTTGGCCCTGAGCAAGTGTGAGATGGGGCCTTGGGGTAAATCACAAATCACCAGGGGACAATTTGGAGTCTTCCTATTTCTAGAAATACTTGGTGGTATCTTATTTCATTATTGATACACCATAGTTGGTAAAACACAACAAATGTGACATACAAATGGCACAAATCAGATCTTTCATTGTCTATTTTCTTCATTTTTCCTGTCTGTTCCTCAGCAAATTTTGAAGAGACCCCCTTGGTCTACAGGTCCAGCTAAGATGCATTTCACATAATCAACAACGGTGACATTTGCTTCCTTTTTCCACCTTTATAACAAGGTTTTTCTGAGTTACCTTCTCTGTTCCAATCCTGGCCAAAGCTCAAGGTTAAAGCATTTGCCTACCGAAAGCACTCAACATCCCCTCCTCTGATCCAGATTTTTATTTGAAGCATCTGTTACAAAAGTACACAGAGAAATTGGAAAAGGCATGAAGCTGTTAGAACTTGTCACACAGTTCAGCACTTGTCCTCCCAAATGCTAAAAGCAGCACTTCAGAAGGCAGTTTTTATTTGTACTGACAAGCAACTGCAGTTTCTTGAATTTTGGTGATGACACCATTTTTTCTTACCGCCCAGAAATTTTAACAAATCAAACAATAGAATTCCTTTGCCAATTCCAATTATCCCAGCTGTGGTGATATCAGATTTGACTTTACACTATTACTTTAATTTTAAGGAGGGGGACCTGCAGAGCTCTATCAATTCTCTACTGCCATCAATGACATGTTTTTTGATTCCATTAAGGAACTGGTGAGGATGCACTGACCTATTGACCTGTTTAGCAGGTGATAAATTGATTAAGGCTAGTAAATATACTTTGTATCATAGAATTGAATTATAAATTCAGGTTTACCTGTTTACTTTCTTACACATCTCTATTGAGATGCTTTTAGAAAGGAAAAGATAATTTTAAAGCAATAGGTTATTCTCATCTTCTTATTTTCAACAGTTTTCTTAGCTTGATTTTATTGTGATAGTTGATTACTTGATGATTATGTTTTAACTCCAAGTTAGCAGAACACAGAGCCTGAATACTGATAACATTCTTGTGTTGTTAATGAAGTCTTTATGTTATTTGGTTCTCCTTCTTTAAAACAAT